TTTCTTTTACATTTCTTTACTCATTTTTAGTTTCCAATTTGCATTTGTGCATTTGTGGTGTGTTAAATTAGTGTTCTTTACGTACTCAAACTAGAACTTATAGGAAGCCGACAAGTTCTTCGTGGGATCGACCCCGTACTTACATAATCTTTACTTCATTAGATTCGTGCACTTGCGGGTATTTTTAATTGGTTGTTTGCACATTAATTTGTGTCCTTTTAGGAATGCAACAATTTTTGGCGCCGTTGCCGGGGAACTGGCACGGCTGCTTATCTGTTTCAATTGAGTATGTTTAGAGTGCTTTGTTCGTTTTCGTTTATTGTTTGTTGTTTCATTTTATCTTGATTTGTTTTTGTTTCTTTTTCTTATAGGAACGTCCGGGGAGTCACCTCCACCATCACCAATGGCAGCCGCAACTGAAATTGTGGAACTTACTATGCAAGAATACTCCAATAAATTTGTGATGGACATCAGACTCTGTACAACATATTCTACACTTTTAAGATTTAAAATATAATTTTGCCTAAGAAAAAGAATCAAATAATTTCTCAAAGTCAAGTTTGCTTCTATAACAACAATAACTCTAAGTTTAAGATCATTACTGGTCCTCCAATTATTACTTCAAAATTTTCATAGTCAAATTTGGATTGTCGAATAGTCGACATTATAACTCTTAAGTTTAAGATCATTACTGGTCCTCCAATTGTTACTTCAAAATTTTCATAGTCAAATTTGGATTGTCGAATAGTCGACATTATAACTCTTAAGTTTAAGATCATTACTGGTCCTCCAATTGTTACTTCAAAATTTTCATAGTCAAATTTGGATTGTCGAATAGTCGACATTATAACTCTTAAGTTTAAGATCATTACTGGTCCTCCAATTGTTACTTCAAAATTTTCATAGTCAAATTTGGATTGTCGAATAGTCGACATTATAACTCTTAAGTTTAAGATCATTACTGGTCCTCCAATTGTTACTTCAAAATTTTCATAGTCAAATTTGGATTGTCGAATAGATAACAACAATAACTCTAAGTTTAAGATCATTACTGGTCCTCCAATTATTACTTCAAAATTTTCATAGTCAAATTTGGATTGTCGAATAGTCGACATTATAACTCTTAAGTTTAAGATCATTACTGGTCCTCCAATTGTTACTTCAAAATTTTCATAGTCAAATTTGGATCTTCGAATAGTAGACAATACTGTCGTAAGGAGTTTGTAGAAATTTTTTATTTTTTATAATGATTTTTTTATTTATTTTTTGTGAATTGTTTAAGGTAAAGACACAAAAATGAACCTTTGATGACACCTAGCGCTACGCGAGAATGACACCCATCATAAGAACTGATGACACCCATTAAGTGTTGCCACTTGTCATTCTCTTCCATTTAATACTATTTTTCAATTCTATAACTTCCAAAAATCAGAAAAATACACTAAAACTTCTTGTGACACTTTCTGCATCTTTTGAGTTTATTTGAAAAAATTCATAACAAAAATATTTATGAAGCTTTAGTTAATAATAAATCAAGTGTTGTTGAAGCTCTAATGAATCCTTTTGAAGTCTTTACGAAACATATTTTGGTGGCAAACAAGTGATGCTGCAACATTGCAATTATGACTTATGTCATTTCTCTATTGTTTTATTGCATTACTTTTGAAATTATAAAAATATACAAAAGCTTTAAACAAGTTCCTCGCAACGACTCTTCGTATTTGAAGTGTCAAGGCCACCAAAGCTTTAAACAAGGCCTGCAGAAATTAAATGAACACACTAAAAATCAAACCAAGATGCTAAAATTCCAATATTGAACCCAAAAAAAAAATAATCCCAATTTAACATTCAGAGGAATACTCAACAGAAAATGCTGCAGTACCAAACACGTTTAAGCAATTTCTTTCATTTTTTTTCCTATATTTGATTACCGTCATAGCAATCATGAAAGCCATCCTTGTCCAATCTCAAAGGCAACCAAAGCTTTAAACAAGGGCTATTAAGTTTCTTTGTTTGAGGCAACTTGAGGACTCCATATTGTGGTGGTTGCTTCAGCAAAGATTTTGTTGTTTCTCAATATTCTTCATTTTAGATTTCTAATTTTCTGCTTTCAACTAACAAAATATGGTTCTTGTTATCCTATATTGATAAAATTATATGTGTATTTATTTATTTCTTTATTTTGGTAAGATAATCTAATTAGTTATTGTTCATTTGAATTGAATTGAAATGAAATGGCTGCAAGAATAGAAGGAAACACATAGAGCCATTAGAATACGAAAGACTATAAATATGTAAGTAGCTTTAGAAAGGTTTAACACTGAAGAGGTTTGTACCTCTTGAGCTAATGGCTGGCACCCTAGCCAATCAAAAAGCTTTATACAATCTCAATTGACAAACAAAAGAATGGCAATCCTCATAGAGGATCCTAAGGAAATTTGACAAGCATTCAACTTTAAGTGTAAAAGGTCCCAATTTGATCAAAATTTGGTCTACAAAATGGAACTTCAAGGGAATTTGACAGTCATAGATTGCAATTCCATGAGGCAACACAACGCCAAACCTTGAAGAAACGCTAAACTCAGTAAAAAAATGGCAATTTCTTTCACAAATTGAGAGCTTCAAATAAAAAATAAGATAGAATACCTCAAACAAGTAAGGATCAGTTGACCTCAACCTTGGGACCTGAAATTCACAAAAGGAAAAAAGAAAATGTGAATTAATTAAGAAAAACAGGGGAAATGATATGATAGGAAAGGAGAGGATACGGTAGGCAAACCATGGAACTCATGAGGACGATGGTCCTTGTCCCTTACCGATGCCATGAGTGGACTTAGGGTACTGGTGGTGGACGAGGTGGCGGTACTTCTGGAGGCGGTTGACGCCTTCAATGCGGTAGCACTAGCACCAGCGGAGCTTTTCTCTGATGATCTTGGCCTTCTCGATGTCGATCCACTTCTCTCGCACTATGTGCTCCCTCATCTCCAGCATCGACACCGGGTCCTTGTACGGATTCGCCGGATCGAAGTCATCTAGCGGCGACTCGTCTATGTCCACAACTCCCTTCCTCCTCCCCATTTTTACACTTCACTCACTCTCTCTCTGTGTCTCTCTCTCAAACCAGAAAAAAATATTTGTGTTCTTTAAGAAAGATTTATAGAATTTTAGTTATAGATTTTTATAATTAATATTTTTTACTTATGGATTTTAAAAGATTCAAATCATAGAATTATTAAGATTTGGAAGGACCAAATAGATTTAACTATGCATCATTTTCACCATGTTGCTAAAATATGAATATGGTTTTGAATATGTTAGATTCTTATTTTATTCTTCTCCATAAGGAGGTATATATAAGAGTTCACAAGAGTCCTTTACAAGGAATTAGATCTAGTAAAGGATTAGGAAAATATCTCCTAATTATACAATGATTTGACAACTATATAAAATAGGAAAGTAAATCCCTTAATTACAAGGAAATAAATCTATAAAATAGGAAAGTAAATCCCTTAATTAATCAAGGAAATAAATCTCCTTGATTAATTAGGAGACTCACTTCAACACTCCTCCTCAAGTTGGTGCATATACGTCAAATGCCCAACTTGGTAAGTGAGTCATGAAATTCGTAGCACCCAAGTCGATAATCCACGCGAATTTTTGAGAGGACATATGAAAAGTAGAACATCAGGATTGACCGCATGCTTTTGTGAGTCTTAAGATTCGATCAACTGCATTCCTATGAGACACATTGTGCCCATGTGCCATTCTTCTGGATAGCTCGCATTTCTTCATTCATGTCTTCTTCCCATTTTTGGTCTTCTAGTGCTTCAGTTACACTGTTGGGAACAGGTATGTCGGCTAACTGCTTCACAAAGTGTACCCGTGACTCTGATAATCTGTTGAGGGATACATAATTGTTGATGGGATATTTCCCCTTTGCATTAAGATCTGCTTCGTAGTGAACTGGAGGTTTACCACGATTCTTCCTTTTTTTGGAATCTGATATGCAGGCTCTGTGCCTTCTGAATGACGTCCTCAGCAGGTGATTGATGTGTTACTAGAGCTGAAGCGGGCAAAATCTCATAAGACGGTTTAATTTCCTCCTCCTGATTTTGACAGCGTGGAGAAAACTGATCGTTTTCCTCTAGTGACCAGTCGTTGGATTTTGGCGACCGGTCAGTTTGAAACAGCTTCTCTGACTACCAGTCGCTTTCCACTGGCGACTGGTACTTTTGAAGCAGATTCTCCATGTTCGAAGAACTACGCCGGGGGGGGGGGTGTCGCTTTCCACTGGCAACTGACCGTTTGATTTAGGAATTTGATTTGAGGAATTTGATGTAGGAATTGGATTTGAATTCGGATTCAGGTTGGAAGGTTGGGATTCGGATTCGGATTTGGATTCGGATTCAGGTTGAAAGGTTGGGATTCGGATTTGGATTTGGATTCGGATTCATGTTGAAAGGTTGGGATTCGGATTCGGATTCAGATTTGGATTTGGATTTGGATTTGGATTCGGATTTGGATTTGGATTTGGATTCAGGTTGAAAGGTTGGGATTCGGATTCGGATTCGGATTCGGATTTGGGTTGGGAAACGATATCCATGGCAGCGGAAGGATTTAAGAATAAGATAAAAAGGATGTGTTTTAGGGTTTCGGGATTCAGGATTCAGGATTCAGGATTCAGGGATTCAGGATACAAGGATACGGGTTCGTGTTTCAAGGAATTCGATACGAGGGATTCGGGTTTAGATCTGAATCTGAAACAAGGAATTTGATTTAGGATACGAGGATACGATACGAGGATATGAGGAATGCGATACGATGATACGAGGATTTAGAGAACACAGAAACCCTGTGAACACGGCTAAAGGACACAGAAACCCTGTGAACACGGCTAAGGAACACAGAAACCCTGCGAACACGGCTAAAGGACATAGAAACCCTGTGAACACGGCTAAGGAACACAGAAACCCTGTGAACACGGCTAAAGGACATAGAAACTTCTCTTCAATTCTCTTCTCCCCCTGAAGAGAAGGGTATGTCAGAGTCAAGAAAGAGGCAAAATCTCCATGAGAAAGAGAAATATATCCTTTTTCACTTCCCCTCCCCCCCTTGAAGAGGAGGGGAGGAGAAATTTTGATATGAGAATTTAGAGACAACCGAGGATCGATTGCTCTGATACCATGCTAAAATATGAATATGGGTTTTGAATATGTTAGATTCTTATTTTATTCTTCTCCATAAGGAGGTATATATAAGAGTTCACAAGAGTCCTTTACAAGGAATTAGATCTAGTAAAGGATTAGGAAAATATCTCCTAATTATACAATGATTTGACAACTATATAAAATAGGAAAGTAAATCCCTTAATTACAAGGAAATAAATCTATAAAATAGGAAAGTAAATCCCTTAATTAATCAAGGAAATAAATCTCCTTGATTAATTAGGAGACTCACTTCAACACATGTTACTTCCATTCAAAGTTTTCCACTTGATTTTTAAAAAAAGAAAATTGAAGCTCTTCGTATAGATGTAAATTGACTTCCAATTTTGCCTTTTAAAATAAAATAAAAATTAAAACATGAAAAAAAAAGTCTCGACAGTACCGTGCCACTCTTACCTCGTTTTTCCTCCGTTTCTATTTCTCCTCCCTCCGTCTCTCTTTTCGGCATGAGTAGATGAAAATACCCGTTTGCGTGAGGGGGCAAGTGGTCAAAATTATAAAAACTAAATTTGTTCTTGAATTGCTCTAAATTGAAAAATATAAAAATAAAACTAATGAAATTGAAAACGATAACAATAAAATTGAAAAATTGAAACTACCTTTGGACCAAAGTGGTAGAAAGAGGGAAATGACAAGGACCAAAAATAATGTTTTCCCTGAATTTAGGGGTATATTTGTCCTTTCATAATCATATGGATGGTAAGGGTATAGTTGTCATTTCAGTATTTTGTGGATGATCCCATAGATAAACGTCTCGGGGGATCCTTACGCACTTATTTCTCATCTTCTCTCTGTGATTAGAAAGAACCTCCCTAATTTAATCAAAATTTCTAGGGTTTCATCATAAAAAATCTCCCAAACCCTAACCCAAAAACATATATCCAGCAATTACTCAGTTTCCCCATATTCAATCCAGTCGCGTCTAGGGTTTCAATTCAGTTTTCAATTCAATTCAAATCAATCACAATGGCGCCTGCTGCCAAACCGAGTAAGCAAGGCACAGACGATTCGGAGACGCCGTCGAACAATCTCTGGGTCGGGAACTTAGCGAGTGACGTCACCGACTCTGAGCTCATGGACCTCTTTGCCCAGTACGGTGCGTTAGATAGCGTCACCACCTACTCGTCGCGGAGCTACGGCTTCGTGTTCTTCAAGCGTGTGGAGGACTCTGCGGCGGCCAAGGAGTCATTGCAAGGCGCCCTTCTGCGTGGAAACCCCATTAAGATTGAGTTTGCTCGACCGGTTCGTATTGATCTTTGTGCTTCGTTAGGCTTATTTGGTTGTTGTTTTTGTATGATAATTGATGTGGCATTGTGGTTGTTTGGATTTGGAACAAGAATTTTGGGTTTATTTGATTCGAAACCAATTGTGCCTATTATTATTAGTATCCTTATCATCATCCTATCATCATCTACGATCCAGTTTTCTGTGCCGTTGAATATCCAGTTTGTTTAGAGGCACAAACAACAATAATTTTAGACATGAACAAAATGAGATGTATATGTTAAACGTGAGTGAAGATGATATTCAGGTTTCTTAAGTTTTTAGACTGATATATGCACAGTTATGACTTAAGTAGAATTTGTTTTCACGGGATAGGTTCTTAGGCATCTTATTCTAGAGTGTTTAGAATCAATAATTTCGGTTCCAGTGTTTCTAAATGCTGGCAAATGACAATAGCTTTCAGGATGTGAAGAATATTTTTAATTTATCACAACTGATACAAAGGGTAAGATGAAAATTTACATTTATCATACATCCATTGCTAGGAAATAACGCACTGCAAACCCAAGGGTATTATGAGTTTCCCATCCTCCATTTCATGGGTGTCCATTCTATGTAAAGTTAAACCCTTCCCAAGATGTGTGTGCACCTAACAAATTCATAACCAACTGCGAAACAGACATTTGCAATTTAGGTCCCTGCAAATCATCAGATATAATTCCTAATATAATAAGTATTTTGCAGTAGCTTTTAGTATTTAATTGAAATCGTCTTTAATTTTTTTTTTTCCTGGGTAGTGAATTGATTTGAAATCTTATTGTTACCTTTGTAGCAGCATAACAAAATATTTATTCCTCAATGCACAACTCAAACTTGTTAGCCGATGTTAGTGAGTGCACAAAGCGGCGTTTCGAGTTCAACTTAACTGAAGCACCAAAAACTAATATCCGTGCACACACCAATCTCAATGAATAAATTATCGATTTCCAAACACAACAGAAGGAGTCCCGATAAACATTTCCAAGCTCCAAAACTGCAAAACAAACGCACAACTTTTCGTGTTTGTAGGTCTGTGTGAATCATCCAATATGACTCCTATATATTAAGTGGATGGCCGTAGCTTTTAGTAACATGATCATTTGATTTGAAATCCCCTTTTGGGATAGGAGATTGATTTGAATCTTAGTGTTAGCTGCACATCTTCTGTATAAAACCTTTTATACCTCAATGCACAACTCAAACTTGTTAGCCAATGTTAGCGAATGCAGAAAGGCGTTTTTCAATTTCAGCTTAACTTAAGTACCAGAATTAATATTTGTGCACACACCAGTCTCAGATGATTACTTATCAAGTATGAAGCCCACGCACAACAGAAGGAATCACATAACCATTTCCAAGCTCCAAAACCGCAAAACAAACACTACCTTAGTGTTGTAGGTCCCTGCGGATAATCAGTTATGATTCCTATATAAGAAGTAGATGGCTGTAGCTTTTAGTAACATCTGAAATCCTTTTCATTTTGATAAGAGAAATCTTAATTCTTTGTATCAGATTTGAAATCATTGTGTCACCCCCATCGTCTGTACAAGATATTTTACACCTTGCAGCACAATTAAAACTTGTTTACCAATTCAGTAAGTGCACAAAGCGTGATTCTATTTCAACTTAACTTTGGCACCAAAGTTAATATTTGTGTACACAACAATCTCAAAAGGTGACTAATCAGGGTTTGAGGTATGAACAAACCAGATCTGAAAATTCTAGTTTGATGGCTTGAGTTTACTTAACCTAAGCTTCACTGTCTACTTTTCCCACCCATATAACGTATATTTGAAATCCATCCAATTTATGATTTTAGTGTGAGAAGCTGACATGGAGCCCCTTAATTTTCAAAGGTTTGGTTTATGTGCACTTATTTATTTTTCCAAGCTCTTTGCTCAAAATGGATAGGAGAACAATTGTTCTGGAACAAAATGGCTCTGTAATTGTGGATGGTGGGGTACCTCTATTCTTCTTGTCTTGCAACAAAAAAATAGTTCCAAAACAAAATTCACAAAAAAGAATTTAAACAATGGTTAGGGATGACAACATAGTGAAACGGAGGTAGATATCCTCACTTATGTCCTTGTATTCCACTTAAGTCTTGGTAACACTTTATCTTACCCTTCTCCTATCGGCATCCTTTAAATCTCCATTATGTCTCACCTATTTTGTAAGTGTTGGTAGCAAATCAATGACAAATAAAAGGTTGTACGGGTTGCTTCTTATTTAGAATTGCTGCAACAATACTTAAAATGATAGAGGGGGACAAGGGAAGAGTGAAACCCTAGGCTGTTAGATATTTTTAATTATGAAATTATACAAGGCAATCAGATAATCATGTTAAGGGTGAGGCAAGGGAAATATATTCGATCCAACCTGGACTTGAATTTGGTAGACTAGAAGGCTTGAACTTCCCTCTCCTTCTATTGAGTTAATGTCTAAACTTCCCCCCTAGGATTAAGGGTGGGGTTGGCCACAATTGACCTGCTATGTTGTATTCTCAAACAAGGTACTAGGATGAGCCATTACGGCATTTGTAAGGGGGGTCATTGACTATAAATGTTTTTTTTTTTTGGATAGACGTGGCGAGAAATCCAAGGTTTGATTTGTAGGGATGGAAAATGGATGAACTGTGTAGCACCTTGTTTGGCTTGTTTGCCCTAGAAGAACAGGAAATTCCAAAGATTTGATATCTTGTAACATAACTCATTTAGACTTTCAAAACACTGATATCTCAACTGAAATAAATTGTTGAAAGATTGTTAGCCATAATATTTTAGTAATACTTTTACATCCCTAAAATGGCATTAGCCCGCTTGTGAAGGTCTAGCTTGAGTAAGGTAGTTCTCTGAGACCTTCCATTCGATTGATGGAGTTGGTTCCATACTGGTGTATGTCCACTACCTTATCAGAGAAATAATGTCCTATGACAATATTTACGCAAAATGAGCAGCCAATAATTTATTAAGTTTTGACCTGTCATTATGAGTTGTGGCAATTCTGATTGCTTGGAAAGAACAAATAATCGTTTGGTGAATATGAGACCCAGCTCGTCATTGAGTACTATATCCTTAACTTTAAGATTGTGTCTTGTTTGACTTTCTAGTTGTGTAATGAAGGTTATGTTAATGGTCCACTTGCTTAAGTTTTTTCTGTTCGCAGGCCTGCTTAGTTTTTCCCTTCTATCCAATGAAGTTAGCTCTCATTAATTATCCATTTGTCCCTTGAGGACTGCTAAAAAAGTATTTCAGAAAATTGGAGGAAGTAGATAACTCCTGCATGTGTTTTGCCTTTAAATATGTTAGTAAAAGGCCACTGGCTAGTATTGGTGACTTGGTCCTAGTAATGTGGGGTCTTGAGGGAGATGATTATCCTCTATAATTCTTCTATTATAGGTAACTGTAAAGAGTAGAACTTGTGCCCTTACGTTGACATCATGAGACTTACCATTGCATCAAATTTTTTACCTTCTGCTCTTACCTTTCAAATCATTAGGCCTAGGGATTTGTTTCCTTAACCTTCTCCATTCTCTTACTTAGTAGTGTGTGTCAATTTTTCTTTTACTTAATTGGATAAAGCCATTTGGGGTTGTAGTTCCTTCCCGTAGCTCAGTTTGTGGACCTTGTTTGGTCTCACTAGGTTGTGGTTGTCTTGAAAACACAAATTGGTGCAAAATAGTGTAAAACACTCCATTTGATTCTTTGCAAAACAGTAACATAAGCAATTTTCCTACTTGCTTCTATTGCCTTCTCAAAGGAAGGGAAGAGATGCAATATGTCAATCATATTGATTAGTTCTTTTCTTTCCCCATTTATTTGGTATTTGTATGTCTTTAGCTTTTCAAAGCATGAAATCTTGCCTGTGGTATTGGTTTGATTCTGCATGTTGTACTTCCTTGATAGCTGGCTCATGGATTACACTGAATGTGTTCTTTGCTATGCATGCATTATTCAGTATGTGATGACATAGCTTACTTCAAATTTTGATGCATTCACCTTTCCATTGTTTTTTTTCCTAATACTTCACAGAATGGTAATACATGTGATTTCTTCCTCTGCTTAGCAACTGTTATACAAAACAGATTTTTAATCTGAGATCACTTTATTTCACTTTTTGTTTATGTTTTCTCCCCGCCTTGAAATAATTTTTACAGACCTTCACATTCTAGAGGATCTAAAGTTTGTGGTTCTTACGGACTTCTGTTTACAGGCAAAACCTTGCAAGAATCTATGGGTAGGTGGAATTAGCCCATCTGTTTCGAAGGAAGAACTAGAAGAAGAATTTCTTAAGTTTGGAAAAGTGGAGGACTTCAAGTTCCTTAGAGACCGGAATACTGCATTTGTTGAATATTTTAGATTGGAGGATGCTTCCCATGCAATGAGAAACATGAATGGGAAGCGATTGGGTGGTGACCAGATACGTGTGGATTTTCTTCGGTCACAACCCTCAAGAAGAGTAAGTTTATTGTTTAGAGCTTCAATGGTATTTCTTAGGGACATATGATTGCTGTTATAGGAGTCCGTACGTTAGCAGGCACTGTTTTCAAGGACTCTTATTAGTGCTATAAGGACATGTGACATTCACTTCCACCTGAGTATCAATGCTAATGACGTTACAATTTACATGTATTGAGGGGATAGAAGAAATTTGCCTAACTTAAAAAGAGTGTAGTGTTTTTTATAGGGGTTAAACATTTTTGTGGAGATACTCATCGTGGTTGGTAAATCAATGATTTTAATATATATGGTAATTTTCCAAGGAAAGGAATAGTCAAACATCTATATCTATACACATACATGTTTGAATTTCGTTATAATTATATCACATATACATTAGTGTGTTGCAACATGTATTAATGCTTTTCCATGTGCATGGAAAACCCTCTATGTAGATCCTAGCTTCAGTTGCTTATTAAAGTGCTTAGTGTTAATAAACAACAAGTTTCTGGTTTGAACAGGAACAGTGGCCTGACTACAGAGACGGACAGTTTCTGTCCAGAAACATGGGACCCACTGATTCTCAAAAAAGACAACAGGTGAGTTATAAGCAAGCAGCATTTTAATAGATATGGTAAACTCTTACATTGTTGATTGTGTACTTTGTTGCTTCATGAGAATTATTCATTAATTGGCTATGTCACACGAGCTGCATCTTACCTCCAATATTGAACTTAAGTTATAGACTTTTATCTTTGGTATCCTCAGATCTGATTTATGGTTTCGTTGGTTACACTTGGATAGAAGATGGAAATCTGTATGTGAATTCTAAATGGCATTAAACTTCTCTACCTAACTTGTCAGTTGTGATAATTTTATCAATGTTTTGTATCATGTTGCAGTATTCTCAATCTGCTGGGGGACGAAAAGGTGACAGTCAACCGAGTAACGTTCTATGGATTGGCTATCCTCCTTCTGTTCAGATTGATGAACAAATGCTCCACAATGCAATGATTTTGTTTGGTGAGATTGAGAGGATTAAAAGTTTTCCTTCAAGGCACTACTCCTTTGTTGAATTCAGGAGTGTAGATGAAGCTCGGCGTGCCAAGGAAGGGTTGCAGGGCAGGCTTTTCAATGATCCTCGGATTACAATTATGTTCTCAAGCAGTGGGCTGGCCCCTGGTAAAGATTACTCTGGCCCTTATCCTGGAGGCAAAGGACCTAGAGCAGATATGTTATTCAATGAACAACCTCTTCGGCCTTTACAGATGGATATGTTTGGTCATAACCGTCCAATGATGTCTAATAACTATCCGGGAGCTCTACCACCAAGTGGCGTTCTTGGACCCAATGTCCCAATGAGGCCTTTAGGTCCTCAAGGTAGGTTTGACCTTTCAGGCCCAGAACTTAATGATTTGGTGTCGCTTCATAATTATCAAGATGGCAATTCCAAGAACCTGATGGGTCCAAACTGGAGGCGGCCATCTCCTCCCACACCTGGTGTCCTTTCTTCTCCTGCGCCTGGTATTAGGCCACACACTAGATCTGCATCTAGTGCATGGGATGTGTTGGATGTTAACCAATTTCAAAGGGAATCTAAACGATCGAGGATAGATAGTCCTTTGTCCATGGAGGACCCTCTGTATCCGTTGAGAAAGATGGATGATCATGGATTGGGGTTAGACTCATCTTATGGAATTGGTCCAGTAATAGATGGAGGTGCTTCTGGTCCATCTATGAATGGCCAAGGGATTAGTCCAGCTGGTGCAAGGGTCTCAGTTGGAGGGCCTCCTGATAATGATTATATATGGCGTGGAACTATTGCCAAGGGTGGAACACCTGTTTGTCATGCTCGCTGTGTCCCTATAGGAAAAGGGATAGGAAATGAGCTGTGAGTACAATTTTCCTTGTGTCTATGTTTCCTTTTTTTTCTTTTGGGGATATGTATAGCATACTTTATTGGTTCTACTTAATGCATGTGGAAAGCTTTTACTATGCTAGGGAATTTTTTATAAAGTATATTCTTAACTTACCAAGACTATGAAATCATGGTGCTGGATCCATGCAATATCAACTTTGACATGATTATATTGGCAATCATTTTTATTCATCCAGTTATAGATGCTTAGTATGAAAACTAACATATGCATTTTAACTGTTATTCTTTTTCTTTTTTAATTTTTCTTGAAATTTGAAAGATGGATGTTCAAAATGTGTGCTTTGAAAGAGGGTCTAGGTGATCTCGATAGAATGACTTACTGCCCACTTCATAAACATAATATTGTTATATTGAGGGGGCTATTATTGTCCAAATGCATGTTTTATGACTTTCCCCTTTTTGTATGTAGAGTAGATATAGATATGGAACACTTTCCTTTTCAACTTAATAAGACAATTCACATATAAGGGTTACTATAGTCATCTGATTCATGGGAAAAGGTTATGTGATTATTTATTTGTATAATAATCCTTCCCTTTGCAGCTTTATCTATCCCCTTCTTTAAGGTTCTACGAGTTTCCAGTTTCAGACTATCTCCCACCCTGTAGAAATGATCTTTGAGTTCACTCACAATCACACGATGCATATGTATTTGAGTTCATTAATAGATAATTATATATATGTGTATAAATAAACCTAATAACTTGGTTAGACTGTACTTCAAATCCTTGTTATTATTACTAAAAAGCACTGAACTGCATTCAGATGCTGCACAGAGAATTGCAATTTTCATCCTTTCTTCCTTTTCCACCTAGCTGTGTATTTGTTATTGTTTTCCTGACTCAAATTTTGGACTACACAACTATTTGTTACGTTACTTTGTTTCTTTTTTGTGTGGATTTTTTTTGAAAATATAACTTACTTCCACCTATCTTTTAGTGTGACCATTATCTTAATTGTATTTAATGTGATTGTTTTCTGTTTTGCAGTCCCGAAATTGTTAATTGTTCAGCTAGAACTGGACTGGATATGCTCACAAAACACTACGCTGAGGCCATTGGGTTTGACATCGTTTTCTTCTTGCCAGATAGTGAAGATGATTTTGCTTCCTACACTGAATTCCTTCGTTATCTTGGTGCCAAAAATCGTGCTGGTGTTGCCAAGTTTGATGATGGGATGACCTTATTTTTGGTACCTCCTTCAGATTTCTTGAAGAATGTTTTGAAAGTTGCAGGCCCTGAACGTCTGTATGGTGTGGTTCTCAAGTTTCCACAACAAGTTCCTAGTACTGTTTCTATGCACCAACAAATGCAGCCCATGCCACCTTCACAGTTCATAGATAGACAGCAGATTCTTTCTTCACAAGCTGAGTATAGTGCAATCCCATCGAAGGAGGAACATATTTTGCCAATGAATTATAACAGGGTTTTGCATGAGGACTCGAAGCTTTCTGCAAAACCACCATTTCCACCTACTAGTGAGCCCTCTGGACTGCAGCCCCAAGACTATGCTTCTAGTAATAGTGCTGCAGTATCACAAGCTGGAGTTACATTAACTCCTGAACTTATTGCCACTCTGGCGACTTTACTGCCTGGAAATGCACAGTCGTCTGGTCCAGAAAGTGCTAAGATATCAGTATCCTCAGCAGCTAGGCCTTCATTTCCTGCATTTGCAACTAATAAAGCATCCTCTCCTGGATGGAAACAAGATCAACAAAATTTTGATCATACCGGTAATGCGTTGCAACAGTTAGGTAGTCAATTTAATCCGCATGACCAAAATCTTTCGCAGTACCAGCCATATCCGTCTGTTCCAAACAGTTCAAACCACTCTAACCCGCTGGTCCTCGGTAGCACCCAATTCCCAGACTCTTCTGTCAGTCTGCCCCTACATGCTGCAAGTTCATCCAGACCTTTGAGTAATTTTACGATCCCTTCTCAAGGTGGACAAGTTACTGGATCCTCGCATCTCAACCAGCAGTATCTGGCTGAAGCTCCTCTTGGAACTCAGAAAGGCTTTTTAGCACATGGAACAGATGCCTCTGGGTTGTACAGTTCACCTGTTTCTCAGCACCACAATAATTCTGTGACCTTTTCTGGTCAGACTTATGGTGCTAATTCACAGTCTCAGACCTTAGTCCCATTAGTGTCTGAAAAGGTGAACACAGAATACCCAAATCAAATGCAGCAGCTTCAGTCTGCACTTCTTGGTGCTGGTCAGAGCGCTCCAGATGGTGAGGCTGACAAAAATCACCGGTATCAGTCTACACTCCAATTTGCTGCTAACCTCCTCCTCCAGTTACAGCAGCAACAACAGCAGCAGCAGCAAATGGGTAGTCAATCTGGGCGAGGATCTGGAAGTCAACAGTGACAATTATTACTCCATATAGGTATTTTTCCGTTTCTATGACATATACTGTTGAATGAATGTGTTCCTTCTAGAGGAAAATACACCAAAAAGTATGGTTAGTTGGCTAATCTATGTGCTTGCTTTTTTTTTTCTTTGCATATGGTGAAGTTTATGTGCTAGTATTTGCTTTCTATGAATTGATGCCATAGGTTTAGCACATCTTTCCTAGGGTGATTGAACAACATGTGATGTGACATTTTTGGCTGCATAGGCTTGCTGCGAGTATGCATGTCAGCTGATTTGTTTGTATATTGCTTTACTTTTGAATGGATGTGCTACTTCGAGAGAAAAAACAAAACAAGTACGGTTAGTTGGCTAATCTATGTGCTTGTTTTTTTTTTTCTTTTTAAATTTTTTTTTATTTATAGCAAATGTGAGACTTATGTGCTAGTTTTCGTTTTCTGTTACTTCACGCAATAGGTTTAGCAACTCTTTCTTCTGGAGATTGAACTATAGATAGTGTCACATTGCATAGGCTTGCCGCAAGCATCTGCGTTCAGTCATTTGTTTGTGTCAATGGCTTTACTTTTGAATAAATGTGGTCTTCTAGAGAAAATACATCTATTTGGAGGTATGGTTAGTTAGCTAACGTATGTGGTTGTTTCTTTTCTTTGCATATGCTGCAACTTATGTGCGTGTGTTTGTTTTCCTTAATTAGTTCCATAGGTTTTAGCACATCTTTCCTAGGAAAATAGAACAATATATGGTGTGGCATTTCTGGTTGCTGCAAGATTATATGTGTTGAGAGATTTGTTTGTAGAATCCTGGTTCTGGTTTAATAAAAAACATTTTGAATATTGGAGTTGTTCAAGACTGTTCGTTCTTATCTAGATATCTATCTTCCTCTAAGGTATGGTGGTGATTTTGGTGGGTGAAATATATTGTACTTTGCTGCAAGGAGTGAAATGATCTCTAGAAATGTTTGAAATAATTGATTTTGTTCGTTTTTTTCCACTTTTAAAACGTTTTGGGCATATGCAACTACTCTTCTTAGGAAGTGCAATATTGTCTATACAGGATATTTACTATAAGTCTTGTTTACTTGGGCAATGCATCCTAGATATTTTTAATATGATTTCTGATTTAGAACAAAAAGAAAAAAAATCTATAGATGCCACTTTGAGAGTTTAACCAAGTTATCTCTTCTTTGTGCTCGCTTTGAGAATTTTGTCCTCATAGGTGATTGGAATGCCAAATTCAACCTTTCTTCTGTTGCCTTTTAATTAAAATATATACTTATAAATTATGACCCATACTTCGATTCAAGGAATGAACAATCTTGGTGTTAGATCAATATTTTTATAAATATACGTTAAGCGATGTATGTTAAAATTTGTTGAATGTAATATGATTTTGTTACATTAATTTTGTAATAAATGCATGTTATTGGTTATAGCTTAAAGGGTGAGGGAATTTATCTCCAATTATAAGTGCACAGCCATAGCAGTTTCTCAACTCTTGGATACAGCTATGGAACAGCAAAAGCAGAAGTAGAAGTTACAGTTATGCTTTTCAACAAATGCCCTTTGAGCAACATTTGCAGAGATGAAATCAAAGCCCTCGGTCAAAAACTTTACTCAGTGCAATTATAGTTCTGCGCCATGATGGCTTTTAAGTTATTCTAATTTTATCTTATTGAAAGTTGTAAATGAATTTCGTACAATTATAGAAAAATTGTTGAGCACCATAAGTAGTAAAAAATAATTTCAGATTTTAGTTTGTTAAAATTATAATAGATGATAAATATGAATTTTCATTCTAAGGCGAATTTTTTAATCCATAGGATTGAAGATCATAACAAAAAGTTTTACTGAAAGAAAGTTCCCTAGGGATCCTTTTCTATTCAGTCAAAAAGTTGTCTTTTCTGCACTTTCGAATATGCATACTTTGTTTGAACTGTAATTTCTGGCCAAGCTATAATGTTAGTTTGGGATAAAGATTAATAATAAAGAAAATACTTACCTTTATCTTGTTTCATACACACTTTTTTTAAAATTTTATTTTTGGGGTGGGGGTTCATTCAATCTTAATTTTTTTCAGATAAGGGGTCACCTTTAGATAGAACCTATCATCTCCTTCCTTAATTCATATGAGTGAATTTATTATTAGTTCATGTGAGTAGTTTTATTATTAGACTAGCAAAGAGGTAGACAGGATATACATATATATAGACTTGGACAATGACCAAACATTGTTCTCTAAAAAATGATTTTTCATATTAGTTCCTTTTGAAGAAAAAAAAAAAGTACTTGTGGAGCATGTGGTTTGAATGGAGTTGTTAAAATTTGTTGGTAGAAATGTTTTCAAAAAATGGTTGTATTATTTAATTTATTCAGTATTTGATTCTTGTTACTTTTACTAATACAAAGAATCTATGGAACTTGAGGTCATGGACCACACAAGCTGTCCCATAACAGTAGAACCTGACTTGAAGTTAACGAGTTTAGGTTGACCATTGCTTGATAGGAACACAAATATGGCACGACCCCTAACACGAATAATAGCCGTGTTTAGTTAATGCCAAACATGAGTAGCCCAATTTTGGCATGATAAGCACATTTAACTAGTATTATATAAAGGAAATCATTCGATTTTCCCATTTTTTAGTATTCAATATATGATTTGTCGTATAATTTAGGCTTAGTTTTTATGAGTTTGTTAGTAGCATGATTAAGTAGATTGTTCTTTTACAGGTAATGTATAAGTGATAGATTTGATTTAGCAATAAGGGAAACTTAGTTATAAGTTTTTAGTTCACCTTATAAATGGGTCAACCTGAATATGTTACCATTAAAAATGAGTTGCATTAGTGTTGAGAGTTGAGTCATTTGTCAGATTAATTAAATGGGTTGGGTTAGGGTTGACTAGTATATTATAAACCAGTTGTATTAGTGTTGAGTGTTGAGTCATTTGACAGATTAATTAAATGGGTCGGGATAGGGTTGACTAGAAGTCAACGTGAACACGTCCCCCTACCACGAATTGCCACCCTTAGTTACATTAACCCTTATTCCATCTAGTTTGGATCCCGATGAATTACACCTTAATGAAGTGAGTGAATGCGATAGTTGCTCAAGTATTCAATCTCTCTTTTTTCTTAAGGAATGCTTTTAGCTAAACTAACTCTTAGAATGAATCCTCCCATTGGATGACACTTAACCATGACCAAGACAGTTGGAGCCACTCGAGCCCACTTATGGAAATGTGGTATATGCGTATGGCTCCAGCCAGAAGGTTAATTGAAGTAATATATCTCTTGTAGAACTAGCACTAATGGATATATTCCAAGTTATTTTCGCCCTTCTAATTCGCACTTGAGATCATATTCACTTTTACTTTTCAACACTCATGCCCTTTATCACTATTTGAACTTCTATGTTCATGATTTGACTTTATTTTTCTAAAAATGATTTTGACAAAATTAATGTTGCCAAGTATGTTGTGGAACTCTTGGATTTTTCAAGCATACGGAGATAGATAAACAATAAATGCCTTTTATATGCATTTTTTAAAATAAAAAAAGGTCTCCTATATGCCAACATGAATGTCATGTATTACATCAGAGTTCTGCATTTATTTATGTTAATTAATGATGAAATCTTCGATTTCTAATTTTCTACCAATTCAGAAACACTTTTGTGGTCGTTGTGTGTTTTTGGTTGTTTTCTAATTTGGAACATTTAACTTTCACGTAAGAAGAATCCTTCACTTAAGTAGTTTTATCCTTACTTCGGAACAAATTAGGTTTTTTCTTTTCCCATCATGTGTCTTTCCTTTTTTCTCTTTCAATTCTTCCTTATATTTGTAATTAGTGGAGAAAGTTAGATAAACAAGTTACAGGTAAGGAAGGGACTTCCATCAATAGAACTATGATTTTGGGCATGTGATAGGTTGTTTCTGAAAGTCGAGATGCATCGTACAACTGGACTCTTGCTTTGTAGAGTTACCAAAGTTCTCCACCTGCTCTGAACCAGTTATTTTGGCGATTCTGTTTTCCAAGCGTGGTTCCTAATATTTCGAACCAGGACTACCCCCAACATAATGCGTACGAGGAGCGTATCACATTCCCATACCCATTCCAGTATCCTACTAATCCGGGTACATACCTATTAGACAATAGGACATCGATTTTTGATGTTTGCAGTCTCATCTCTATGATGGAAGCCCTTCAATGATCATTTCTGTTAAGGTTAAGCCACGTAATGTAGAACACATTCATTTAAAATCATATATTGCTATTATTTGAATGTAAAATTGAAAATAGTTGTCACATCTGTTACGTTGTTTTGATTTTTTTTTGGGTGGGTTTATATAAATCTAGAATGATAGGAGGGGGAAGATATTCTATTTTGTACATCCTATGATTTTTTGAGAAGGATGTAAATTTTGTTGTATATCTTCACTTCAATGGTTGATTATTTTATTATTATTATTTTTTCAACTGGGTGGTTCCAGCTGCATGTGTGGCATTGCATTATTTTGTCAGAATGACAATTATTTGGAGTAAGTAATAGGGGTTTGGTGTTGGGAAGATGTGCAGTGGTGAATAGACAGATTTGAGGATGTGAGGGATGAGGAGGTGTGGAGAGGGTTCGTTTTTGGGCTTCTCTTTGGGTATTGGTGTTGTCAAAGTTTAGGAAGAGTTTTGCAACTATGTTACTTTGAAATTGATTTTGTAGGTTCTCGATGTCCTATTGTCTAATATAACAGTATTAATCTGAATTAGAACATTTAGGTATATGTTGTAATCGTAGCAATGAAATGCTTTTGTGTAAACTTGATTGTTTAATAAGCATTATGTTTCATAGCTCAGTAAGTTATTTTGTGGTGGGTTGTATGATCAAATTTTTGTATACAGTTGAGGATGCATAATTTGATATAAACTTTTTAGTTTTTATTATATTGTGGTTTCTGCATAAATTTGGACAGTATTGTTAATCTAGGACTCAAGTTGTTTTCTTGATGCAGCTGCATTGTCATTGCTAGTTTTATCTTTTCGAAAACATGTTTTTATTAGTTTTTTCTTTCTAAGAATACTTGTTTCATGTTTGGTCCATTGATTGTGTATATTACACTTGTTGATATATGTTGACACTTTTCTTGTGCTTAAGGTTACTTTGTTTTATTTATTTTTTATCCTTGTCTGCAACTATTAACTTATAATGTGCATTTGAAACTGCTTATGTTTTTTTGGCGGTAGTTTGTCTCATTAGTTTTGTGCTCCTGTTATTTTAGTGGATTGTTCTTTATATGTGATGACATGGTTTTCAGTTATAGCAATTATTATTGATTTGATAATTTATGCTGCTAAAGAGAGCACTATATTGAAGTGTGTTATCTTCTTTCTTTTTTCCCCATCAGTTTTCTTCTACCATGCATTACATGTTTATTTTATATTTGTAGCCTGAACTTGTTCTATTTAGTTTATATTTTTCTGGCCTTTCGAAGCGATGGTCTTTTGTGACTATTATCTGACTTTAGGGTAAGTCTTTTTCAACCTTATCGAATTGTAACTATGATATGTAATATGTTATGTAAGAGTTCTTCAGACATAATTTCATGAAAATTGCAATGCTTGGTAAATTAATAACCTCTATAGAGTTTTATCTTCCCCAACTAACATAACATCTGTTAAACCCATATGCTACTGGCATTTGAGAGATTTCCTTTGTTTCTTCCAATAGTTTTTATTAAGAGTAAATTGTGAGTAATGTCAAAATCTTATATGAATTAAAATCCTTCTATTTCCATCTCTCCCTTTCCTTTTTTCTTAAGGTCGAAAAATGGGATGAGATTGTCAAACTTTTAATGACGCATTTTGATATTTTAATGTAAGCGTTCATTTGTAGCACTAGTCTAGAATAAGGGGAGGGGAAACAAAATTTAGAGAAGAGTATAAACCATGCTGAATCATATTGCACTTTGGGTTTAGAGATCAATTCCGAAAACTACTGAGAACCTTTTATAGATAGTTTCCTGATATACTGTCCTTAATAATTTCCTAATATGTAATTTATGTACAATCTACAAAAGGAGAGCATTCCAGTATTCCTGGTATAGGCATGGGAATGGTCAACTATCTGCTATTTAGATTATAGTGACCTCCTAAACTAAAGACTCAGTATAATTTACATCATGAAACGAAAGAACACAGAGGTTAGAAATTTGGTACCTCTCTTGTTTTCCCCATTGCACTTGTGAGGTTGCAACCCAGTGGTTTAAGGGAAAGCTATTTCGTGATGAAAGGAAAAAGAAAATAAGATGGCCGAGTACTTTTGTGTGAGAAAGAAAAACACGTCTTATCTTCCGTCAATCTTTTAGAGTTATCTGATAAATTATGATGACCATGTACTGGTATTTATAGAAAATGTAAATATAGGCACCTATGAAAATACAGAACCTGGAGGAAAAAATGCAACTAGGGCAAAGGAGCAATAGTATAAATATATAAACTAGGGTAAAATTTCATTATCCCCGGCATACTTACATAATCAGCTCCATCTGATTCTGTGTCGCGTCTTGTTAGATTAATTATGTTAAACTAAAATTACCTGTTGTTGGTCTTAATTTAGCACATCTATATAAACATATGAAGCAACTGACAGCATGGTTCTTTAGAAAAAGAGAAAATGGTAATAAGAAACAAATACAAATCAAATGTGTTAGAAATTGGGTGTATAGTCTTTTTGAAGTTACACTGGCGAATTGTGGCAACTATGCAAATCGTTTTGTTTCTTCTTTTTCCCAATGAAGTTCGTATAGGGCGCCATGCTTATTTTGCCTTCTGGTTTGAGTGAAAATTATACATATGCCATCCCGAGAACGTTGAATATGAATCGTTTAGTAGTAATTGTTGAATATCTGACATGTTGAAGTAAAACCTAGTCTATCCAAGCAGAAACTTTTCTAAATTGTGCTTTGTGGGAGTTGCATTAGTGCTTGGATTTGCTGGAAACATTTTTTTCCCCCCTGTTAAACTGCAAGTGAGGTCAAGGATTGTTGGATTTTTGTTGGAGATGAGAACATGATGATTCTATAAAATGATTAAATATAAATGGGGAACAAACATAGACAAGCGTGGAAATTGATCAATTCTTTCATGCGCAAATTTTGATGGATCATTCTGCCTTATGCCTTTTGCCTGATAGGTAAAGTTATTCATTTGTGAAGTGCAATAAAACTGGATTTTGCAATTTCAACTACCAGCTGAAGCAACAAATAGAAAACTGTTCATTCTGGATCGATTTCTGTTTGAAAAGAATTTAATTTTCTTTGCGTTTGATCAGGGGTTTCATTATTATTTTATTTTTTTGTTATAAGTCCGTTGAGATTATTGTGCCGTACAATTCATGGAGCCTTTTTAACGTCACCATTGATTTGTTCCATGGCTCCCAATGCGACCAACATTTACAATTTTGTAGCTTCCTCAAAAAAATCGCAAATGCTCCGACTTGTCTTCTGTTGTATGGAGGCAAGATAGCCGAAGGCTTCCTTATCGTATGGGTGATATAATTTTTTCTTCTTTTTTCTTTTTCTTTTTCTGGTACAAAGTGGCGGCGAAGACCGGAATTTTATCCTTGGATGTGGGTGTGATTGTCAATTTTTAAGCGGCAAAATAGGTGGGATAAGTAAGTGGAGGAATAACCCATAGTATTTATTATATTAGTGATATAAGTGATTTTGAGGGAAAGGAAACTCGAACATAGAACCTTAGGTATAGAGATAATTGCTCTTAATCACTTGAACTACAAGCCCTTGTCATAATCAACTGTGACGTAATTAGTTGGGTCACCATTAAATACGCTAAAAGTTGCAAATGTAGCAAAATGTTTTACATTAGATTACTCAATTTCATTTGCTGGGTTGATTGATTTGTTAACAAGTGCTTTGAATTAAGAGTTTAATAAGAGCGATAATTATTATAGCAATATAAAATTAAGATAAAAAGATGTTTTGTTTTATTATTTTCCGTACTTGACCAGCCTTTTATATTTCCAATCAAAACCTGTAGGTATTTTGGAAACTCGATCGAGGAGATACATCGACAATCAGTTTAAGGGTCTGGTTGGAACGACTTGCTTGATCCCATGGTCAACCACTCAAGAGGTTCAACTTATTAATTTCAGTTTTTGGAGAAGATATAAATAATTACAATGGTATCCTCCGAGTTTTTTGTATTTCTTTTTTTGTTTTTGTTTTTGTTTGTATAAAATAAAAATAAAAATTTAGAATGTAGTTAAATTGTTAGTCTCATCTCAACCCTCTTTGTTCATAATCTCAGTTTCTATTCAGTTTTTGAAGAGGCTCAAGCAACCTGTGAGTTGATGGATAACAAGTTCTCTCCTTTTCAAGTAGACCGAAGAATTACTGTTCTTGAAAACCCAGCCTAGAATGTGAACACTTAAAAGAATTACTGTTCTTGGAAAAAAAAAAAACAAAAAACAAAATTAGCTAGAGCAAATCAATCACCACTAAGCAGTAATAAGCGTTTTTCAAGCAGCCGTTGTAAATGTTTCACCGCCATAAACATCTTTAAAGCATAAACATTCCATGGCCGCAAGCATAAACATTTCACGACCTGTGAAAGAAAGATAAAATAATTATGAGAAGTGAAGGCATTGGATTCATCGAAAAGGAGTTGTTTTACAGCGGTGAACATGGCAGAGCGTGATGGATTAACAATCATGGACAATGAAATTGTTTGGTTCGATTTGAATTTGACAAAAATCACCGATCATATCGGACCAAATTAAACCAATTTTGAACTGTTTGGGCCCAAGCCTAATCCTTTTTTCTTTTGAATGTTTTCAACTTCGTTAGCTTAATTATGACCCAAAATAAAATAAAATAAAGATAAAAAGTTACTTTTGGTTCTTGTGGTTTATTACCTTTACCACTAAGGTTCTTTTGGTTTCAATTTTATCACTTTTGCTCATGTGGTTTCAATTTGAAGCAATTTAAGGACAATGCTCAATTTCTATCAAAAAATTTTAAGAGCTAACATCATTTTACCCATTGAAGGTTTGGGTTATTCTTGAAATGGGCCACAGGGTTTTAATTTTGTCAATTTACGCCCTAATGTTTTAACGGTGGCATTTGACAGTGGCAGAGGAGATTGGGGCTGATCAAATGTCAATTAATTGAAGAAAGGCTGGTTGGTTGGAACACTAGAGATGTCCGTCGGCGGGGGAGGTGGAATCGACAGCAACTCGATCTCAATTTCATGGGGAAACGTCTTGGAAAACAAATTTGTTGCGAGCGTCCCAAATTTTCCAGCAAATCAGTAAGGCTTTAGTCCGAGGCATCACTAGTGGATGTACTGGAGAGGGTAGATAACCAAGAAACACCATCAAAATCCTGTGGGATAGATACTGGGAGGAGTGAGGTACATCTCCAGATGCGTATAAAAAAATTGCACTTGAAAAATATATGATTGATAGTTTCACTTTGATTTTTGCATAATGGACACCCAGGGTTAACATGAGGAAAAAATATGTGCAAATGACTTCTCACTTAGAGTCTCTTTTTGATAAATAACAAGAAAAAAGCTTCACCTTAGGAGGCATAGTGATCCTCCACATTTTCTTTAGGAGATCTGCTTTAGTAAGAATTCTCTCACAAATATCTTCATCAACAACTTCCAGCAGTTTATCTCTGTTCCAAGTCTGATTTGGTATGAAATTTGAAACTAGAACATTATGATCAATAAAATTTCTCTGCATATCAGAAAACAACTCAATAAGGGGGAAAGGGAAAACCCAATGGGCAGCCCATAAAGGAATAGAAAGATCATTACCCACTGTCCACCTCAAACCTTTAGAAAGAACAAACGAGCATATAAGATAGCTTTCCAAGCAAGAGAATGAGAAACTTTCTTTTTGACTGAAAGAAAACAATCTTTTTTTAAATATTTTTTCGTTACAATTTGGGACCACCAATTGGAATTGTCAGTTAAGAAAATCCAACCAAGCTTAGCAAGAGCAACCTGATTAAAATGAGCAACAAAACGAACTCCAAGACCTCCCATAGGCTTAGGAAGGTAGATGTCTTTCCAGGAAACTAGGGGGATTTTATTCCCATTACCCCAGAAAAAAGGTCTGCTGCAGTTATTCATTGCCTTACTAACTTCCTTTGGACATTTAAAACAAGTAAGAGTGTGATTGGGGATCCTAGAGAGACTTGCCTTAATTAAAGTGAGTCTACCAGCTCTAGACAAGGTCTGAGCCTTCCAACCAGCAAACTTGTTGCGGATTCTTTCAATCATGAGTTTAGCGTTATCTAGGTCTTTCCAAAAAACAATGTTATGAGTGCCTAGATTCCAGCCTAATGTAGTTTTATGTTGAATTTGTAGGAGGTTAGAGAGAGTAATTATGGCTCTATTGTGAACATTAGTAGAGAAAAACACCGTTGATTTGTGTAAATCAATTTTTTGCTCATAGATTGTAGAGAAATTTTCAAGAAGATTGCTAATTGTAAGGGACTTTTTCTCCTGGCAGCAGCAAGTGGGCTGGGCTAGGCTGCTGCAAGGAGCAATCTGATGCAAGTATCCCCTTGTGTCTGAGTTCGAAGATTAAGCCCCAAGA